AATAAAACCCATTGAAACCGCGTTCAGATTTTCTGAACACTCCTTCATTGAAACCGCATAGAAAAAGAAAAGCGCAGAATATCAAGGGGATACCTAAGTCATTTAGACTGCTTTTTATAATACCCCCCCTATGACCGCAGAACCCCGCAACAAAAATATTTATTACGTGTTTTGTCAACGGTAGATTGGGCCCTTTCAAAATTGTCTGCCGGCACTTTCTGGAATTGGGCAGTTATTTTTTCTTTAGGGGTGGTTTACTATCAAGGGGAAACGCTTCTAAGGACTCCCAAAGAAGGATCCTAATTTCTGAAGCCCTCCTCCACTTTGGCAATTTTGGGGCACGCGCTTGCAAGAAAAGGTATTGGGGGTTTAAGGGCGGCTTCGTGCTAGTCATCTGAACTCACATGAACGGATTCTGAAGTGGGGGGAGAATTGAAATCAGTTTTTGGGCGGTATGATCTAGGCATGGGCTGGGTATTGGTTGGGTATCGTTTATGACATCCGATAGCTTCTAGAACATAGCTCGAGGGAGAGGGCAATCTGCTCGGGTTGCTAAAATCAAGTGTCCCAATACCTAATAATCTTATACTTCCCCAAAACTGCATCATCATCTTTATTACTCAATACGCAAGTCATTATTGGGTACGTGGACCCTTTGGGTCACATGTTTGTAGGCATCAGCTGGGGCTTCGGTCTGTCTGAATTCGCGCACGACAAAACTCTCACACTTTAAATCATCTGTTTGTGGCGCCAGTGTCAGTGGAAGCAGAAGAACTACACAGTTTCGGAGAGTTGTTCAGAAACCTCAAAGTTTGAGAGTGAATACATAACAGAGGTTCTTCGCCTTGAGATTTGTAACAAATGATGCGGGGAACAGCAGCGTTACAACACGACACTGGCCACAATTCACGAGAGTCCAAGTAAAGATGTGAGCCCAAGCGTCCGCAACCAGTGTGTTGTACCTCCACCGAGATCCACCCATTCTTCAGGCGTAATTCAAATTCAGGGACCCTGTTTACAGCGCACTACGTACACGAACCTACGTCGGCGAATGCATAGAGACCCCAAAACGTCCAGGTAAACCTTACAATGACAGGGAATGTTGTTCTAGAGCCCGCGCTCTCAAATAACAGTTCTTTGAAAGATCGGGTACTCACGCCATGCATAAAAACTTATACACGTCACAGGACCCTGTACAATAAACCCTAAACCTATGACAGATCGTACCCTAAACTTGCCTCAAAACCCAGGCCGCATTATTCATGAGGATTGACTCTCCGGCACTGTCGCCGAAGATTCCACATGGGCGGGCAATGGCCTTTGGCTGAGAAGGCTTGGATGCATGAAACCAGGGCCATAGCTAGGGCTTAATGTTGCCCTCACATTAGTGAAAAGGCCCCCTTTTATGTGTGTTGGTTTTGGGGCCCTAAAAATACGGGACCAAATCCTGACCATCCCTTTTAAAGTAATCCCCAAGGCCTTTCGGGGCCCTCAGTACCATGGGAGCCTTATTGAGGACGTCTAATTTTTATTTTGCCGGACCCCCTATTGTTAGGGCGGAGGGGGGGCCCTAAGTTTAAACTGAGTCTAACAGTAGGGTTTATTTCTAGGTTTTGGGGTAGCTTACATGGGAGCTTCTTGAAAATGATGACGGTATACAGCCGGGTTTTGACTAGTAACCCGCCAACAAGTAGAGGATTCAGGTCAGAGCCTGGCCTTAGTACTTTCCTGCATTCCTCTTATTTCGTTCAGGCAAGGCTGCGCTCCCAACACTATGGAGGTTTCATAGGGATAGAGGGCCCAAAAATGGAGAACGGTATCGCACAGAAATTCAAAAAATGAATGGACACTAGGTTCTTGTAGCGGTGAGGATTTTGGGGAACCCAACCGCCAAAATTAGGACGCTAGAGCCTAAACGCCACAACTTTTGAGAACACCTCCCAACACGTTTTGTTGCCGCAAAGTGACGTAAGATCCTATGCCACTGGCCCGTAAAGCAGCAGCCGCCCGGGCCTTTCAAAGGCTAAGAGTTCTTCAGGGTCGAGAGTGGAGGACTTACTACAGCGTAGGTCTCATAATTAGGCACCTACCCCTAGGTTGACTTAGAAAGGCCCTAAATTATAGCTTGAAGGTAATATTTCTTCCCATCTGTAAAATCTGTAGCTGAAACGGAGGCACAACTGATCAGCATCATGAGTTATGAGCCATAAGGGGGCCCTGGTCTACTAGAGCAAATGGCGTGGTGTGTGTGTGTGTGTGTGTGTGTGTGTGTGTGCGTGTGTGTGCGCGCATCTCTCTCGCTCTCTCTCTCTCTCTGTCTGTCTCTCTCTCTGTCTCTGTGCACTCACACCTCTGGCTTTGTACATGTAAAAGCATGCGAAAACAGCATCAGAGAAAACCCGTTTCACCGGAAAGCCAAATCCAGTAAGCATGATATAGTGTGATATGCCCCTACAGGTCCCGGGGCCCAACAATCATATACTTCCCACAAACCTGTACTACAAATTACTAGTACCCAAATCTCAAGTACCCAACTATTGGGTACAAACCCTTTCCATACTGGAGCAGCAATCAGCATCAGTGGAGGCCCTTGCGCAAGTCGAAGCTGGCGAACATCATCAACATCGGCCGCGCTCTTATTGTAGAACCAATATAACAGTAAGTAGAATCAATAAGCCAGAGGGTGAGAGATGGCAGAAGATTGAATATGGTTACTTAGGGTTTAGGGTTTAGGGTTTACCAACATTCTCCCCACAGCCTTGCCGGCAATGTAGACAAAAGGGGAGTCCTGTTCAGGCTTTGCAACACTGGGTCAGGATGATAAGGGGACGGGTACAGAGAACAATCACTACCCAAACCCCTGGAAAGCTCAAACATGGGGCAACGATCTATTAGGCGTAATTTCTAGGAATTCTTACGGGCGATTTACTTCACTTTCTATACCAAGGGTCTCGGTACTGAGGCTAGCTTGAGGGCCTCAAGGTCTGCTTTCATTGTGCAATCTGTTTCGTCTCTAGCCTGTGGAGAGACATTCTTGAAATCATCAGCATGCATCTCATATACTTGAAAAACTATTGCCGAGGGTCTACGCTGCTTCACAATTCTCCTTGCGAAGCCCATGCATGTGATGGTCAAAATTCCTTCGCCCTGTAGTTGCTTAATTCAACACATTCCCTGCCGAACCCTTCCTTTTCAAGGCTCGCCGCTGTGCTGGATGATATACAAAGATGGGCCTTGCGACCCTGTAAATCCCGACTTGAGGGTACATCAAATGTCTTATATAGGATCTGATAGCCCATCCAGGTAGTAGACGAACATCTTCCTTCAAGCAGAAAACCAAACTGTGAAAACAAACCTTGGCAACTAAGCCCTAAACCCCAAGCCCTGAAGCCTAAGCCCTGAACCCTACATACCCTAAACACGCCAACCTCGGTAGCATGCGTGTGCGACGTGTAGACGATCCGGCGAACTCCAGCTTGCCGCGCTATCCTGTGAGCTTAGGGTTTAAGCATAAGGTGTAGATGATGGTTTAGGGTTTAGTTTTTTTTCTCGGACCTTTTCTCCAAGGCATGAAATCCTTAAAGATGCCATTCCGGCACGGTCCCGTACAAGACACTGCCCTTCCCTGCTCCATGAAAGCACTAGGCGGAAGCATCAGAAGTCCATACACCAAAGAGGACGACTTGTCAGAGGCACAGCCATATCAGCAGCCAAGGAACGCTCCCTCACACCCAGCAACCCCATGTTCCACACAGAGGCCAGGGAAGCATGCACTCACAAGGCAGACTACAGGAGCCAGTGTGCCAGGCTTGTCTGCCTACTCCCTGTAAGGATGCCTGTATTTACACCCTGCTCAGTTGACGCTGTCCCGCTCAAACCAGCCGAACTCCCTGATGCACTGGCCGCCTCTCCATCCATGCCAGCCGCAATGCCTTCCCCTTCTTCAGCTGCAGCTACCACGATTTGACTACCATCAGGTTCATGGCCACTCTCTACCAACGTGTCAGCACCAGCCAGCCGTCCTTGCCCTTCACCACTTGCAGCAGAGGCATCATGGGATCCTGGCTCACCTTCAGGTTGGCAGTCATCAAACACGCCATTTTCCCAATCTCTTTTGGAGTAGAACCTGCCCAGGACGCCGTATCCGAAGCGTTTGCCCACAAGCCAGTCGGTAACCTGTCCCTGCTTCCACAGCCGGTAGAACTTCTCCGACAATTCGGGTTTAGAGTGTAGGGTTTAATTTCTGGCAGCCTTCTCCAGCACTTGTCGGAGGTTTTTGTTATCAGCTCCAATTCACTTCCTGAAGATGTTACGAAGGAGTATAGGGACTTGACTACTTAAATGTAGGGACCGGAACACTGAAGAAAGATTCTACCATGCGAGTAGGACTCCCTATGTGGAGGTTTCTATTTCAGGCGCACACTAAGTTTGCAACAACAAGCAGCTTGCTACAGAGAAGCCCCCAAGTTCAGGGAGAAGACCGACACAAGTCCCAGACCCAAATCCGTAACCTGCTGAGGACCTGAACCCCAAAAGTATGTAGAATAATGGCCTTTTGGGCTGTCTTTAGGGTTTTGGGCTATTACCTTACCTACTTTGGGGCTCAGGATCTGCCGACAAGCTTTCGGGTTTAGGGATTAGGGTTGCTTTCATTGGTTTGGATGATGCTCTCCTCTGGTACAAGCTCATGGTCGTAGAGGTGAACGATTTGATTGACTTATGCCAGCGCTGCCCTTGCCCCGGAGCTCTCTGCAAATAATACCGACATCGGATCATGAAATTGAGCAAGAATACCTACATGGGGGCTCAGGGCTACAAAAGTGTTACTTTGAGGCCTCTTCAGATGGACACCCAACGTATACTCCCACCAAAATTTTTAGGCAACCCAATATACACTCACCAACACTATGCTAAAAGCTTGCTTGATCTGTCATCTAAGCCCAATCCAGTCCTATAAAACGTATAGAGGCCCAGTTTCCAATTCATGTTGCATGTTCTTTTCAATTTGATTCTCCATTATGGATTGGCCATATCCCCATTTCAATCCTATCGAAACCGGATGAAACCCTAAACCCTATGGAACCGTCGTAAAACGCTACTTCTAACAACGAGTTCATTCTAACCTTAGCCAAGGCTCTCGAAAAGCCGAGCACATCTATCTGCAGCAGCTGCGAAGGTATCCCCGTTGCGCTCGAAGCGGATCCAATATGTACACCACCTTTGAGTGGGTGATGCCAAGTATACCACCACTTTATACTGGGGGGGTGATTTCTCACTCGAAAAAGGGTTTGCGGAAGATTGTCAGCAGCAATCTCCTGGTAACTTGTTGCTGGCAGGTTGTGGGATGCCGTCGGGATCTTTTCTTCAAAGACCATATCTTGGGCACTGCCCCCCCTCAGTAACAGTTGGATAATAACTATAATATGGTGTATATATACATATAGAGCCCTGAATAGGACCCCTTATATAGACTGTTACTGGGGGGGGCAGTATACCTTTCATCCCTCCAAGCACTCCATCCCTGCGTCCTGGTAGACCTCTACTCTCTGCTGACTTCAAGAAAGAAGGGGCTTCGAACTCTTGAGGGCCCCTTTTCTTCGGGCACCAAGCACCCTGAACCCAAGCACGGAAGAAGGGTCAACTTGTGTTGCTTTGTCAGATAGCATCTTTACTGTTGGTGGACGACAGCCCGAATAAATTTCATGTACGCAAGCAACGAGAATTATGGCATAACTGCTGGGTACCAGCAACTGTTGATACTGGATGTCCTGCATGACCTTTGTACACTACAGTACCAAGTACCATCAGTCCCGAGGTCCAGGCATGCAGGATTCTTAACATCAATATCCCTGCTGTAGAACTGTTGACTATGCAGGGCTTTGTCCATCAATAGTATGAAGGATCCTGAAAGTAGGTATGTAGCCAATGACCGCACCTGGCCGTGTAAAAGTAAGGCCCTTTCACCACGCTATTTTGGTGTTTCAAACCTCCCCGAAACACTCACCCCAAACCTCTGCTGGTCTGGAACGCGGTGCGGGGTAAGGACTCTGGCATACTGTCTGTCCGAGGCACAGCACGGAGCACCCTTCGAGCGCCTTGCCCAAGCGTTTCTCATCGTGGAAGTCTAAGGGGTGTTTCTCCACGCAGCTCACGTCCTGCAGTGTTCATGGGTTACGCGACCGAGGCCTAACGGTTCAGGAGCTGCACAACCAGGTTTTGAGGTCGTAGAAGGCGTAGTCAAGTGAGTGCTTTTGCAGATTCAGGGTCATTTTGACCCTGTTATTATGTTGGTTAAATTCAACCCAATTATAAGCCCCCGAAATCCCTTAATGTGGTTATAGTTCGGTTCTAAGTCCCAGTTATACTTGAAATGAAACATGGGGGGGGGCACGGCATCACGGCACACCCCTGAAGCAACGTATTAGCTGCACATGTGGGTTGTTCTCAAAATTTGGGGCCCCTTTGGTTATAGAATATATTACGGCACCTGATGTTTAGGGGTACCAAAATGGGACTCCAATATTGGGAAGTACCCATGTGATGAGGAAGAGTTGCCGTACGCGCACACTCGCATGATCTGCGCGCTGGGAAAATGCAGAAATCGAGTGTCAACTTCGCAAGCCATAAACGTGTAGCCGCTCTAAAGACACTTAAGAACATCTTATTCACCTCTCTCTTGCACTGCACATGGACTCATGTAGGTGCGCTTTGGCGAGGATTCTTACTTGCTAAGGTTGAGCCGCAGGCTTACACACTGGAAGGGGCGCTTTAGGGCTTTAACTATAACCCTCTCGTGACGGTATCTGGACAAGATGTCCGGCTACAGGGACCATCTTACACCAGACGAGAAGGTAAACATGATAAGCAATACAAACAAACCGACAACTACACAACTAGTAGCAGGAGGAGCAACAAAAGTCACAAGTTGCTGCCTCTTGTCGTGAGGTAGGAAGAGTCTTGGGACCCTGAAATGCGATGGCACCATTTCATTCGTGCCCTGCTGTTAGGGTAACAGATACAACAAATGCCTGGTAAGTGTTTTGTGCTGGTGTGCTCAGCTTCTTCAAGTGCATGTGCGTCATCGGAGGAACCAAACAAAGAACTATATAAACGCTAAGCCATACGGTGAACCAGGCGCCAAGCACCTGCCCCATGCCTCTGGAGCCCCATACAGTCGACTACCCCGATACCCTGCGCCTGTATCTCAAAGTTTCTTCCTTCCTGGAACCCAAAAGTAGTTCAAGTAATGACCAACAGAGGAAAACCACCAGAAGTACTTCTAGAGGTCAGTCTTCTACATACTTTGAGGGTTGAGGTACACCCAAAGCTTTATGAATTCCAACATCCCCTGTGTCCCTACATTGTCTGGAGGGTTTAGGCTTTTACCTCCAGGGTCCACCCGTGGGTTTTGGGATCTTTTTAAAGGAATCTAGAGGGTCTACATTAGCTCGTATAAGGTATATATTCAGACCATATTAAGGAAACCTTTCAGCAATACAACTTTGATTAGGGGTACAACCCAGGAACCCTGATGGAGGTTCAGGTAAGGCTCCGCGCAAAACAAATCAAGATGGGTTCCTGGCTCGTAAGCGGCGCCGCCGCAATTGGTGCATTGCGACTAGAAAGCGAGACCACCTTGACCCAGGGTCCATAAGCAAAAGGCGCAGGACCTAGGGTTTAAGGTTTCAGGCTTACCTTAATTAGGATAAAGTTTAGGGTTTAAGATTCAGATTTAGGGTTTTGGGGGTCTGCAGTGGACATTTTAGGATATCAGATTTTCACAACCTCAAATAAGCCGAGTTTTTGCCTTTCAGTTGTACTTCTGCCGGGGCGAGGCCCGATCACGTATAACACCCGCAAAATCGGTGTTGCTGTTCAGGAACTTACTTTAAGTGACTATATTGGAAGAACCATATCAGTTACTATGTATACCCATTATGGTAACTCAATTTAAGTTCCTTAAATCCCTAAATCACACCACTCTCCATTTCATTTTTCATGTTCTTTTCCATTTGATTCTTCATTTTGGGGGAATAATACCCATAGACCCTAAAGCCTAGACCCTATACACCCACTATGATATTTAAATTCAAATTCCTTAGCAACAACCCAGAAATGCATTCCAAAGTTCCTCCTTATCCAGGCTGGCTCCGTATAGAACTTTCAAAATAGCCTTCGCTTTTTCGAACATTATTCCAGGCGCTCTCAACGTTGATGGATTCTTAGGGCTGTCGTTTCTTTAGCGTAGAAGCGATGGAACCTTGCAGGCCACCATATTCAGCTCTACTTGGCGTCCTTGGGATTAGGGAACCTCAAGACCAAAGCGCAAACCCCCCAAATCCAAAACTCGTAGTCCTAAACCCTGAACCCTCAGCCCTAAGCTAAACTCTCAACTCCAAGCCCTGCACCCGAAGACCCCCAAGCCCTGAACTCGAAGCCTTTTAACTCAAGCCCCTAGCTGTACAGCATGACATCGTCCCCTCTAAATACAATTCGCAGCTCAAAAGCCTTACCTATGGGGTTAAGGATTTGGGGTTTAGGGTTTATGGTTTAAGGTTTAGGGTGTCAGGGCTTCGGGTTCAGGATTTGGGGTCAGGGGAATTTGGTAAGACGGTGAATACTGGGGATAGCAGCGGTTACTAAGTTACTACATGGCTTATAGGCGTTATAAGTTTCCTTACTAAGTCCCCATGACTCTCCAAGTGACCTTTATACCCCCAGACCCTTTTTAAGTGCATCTAACGTTCTGTCTAGTCTCTTTTATGTGCACAAATAGATACCCCTCAAATCGTAGTTATGAAGCCCTAAACTCTCAAGCCCATATAAGCTTACCATTACTTAGGGTTCTCAAGCTTCCTTAATCCCAAAGCTTTCAAGGCCAAAATGACCCCCCCCCCCTACCCTGAGTAATGGTAATGCACCCCAAGCCTCCCCGTAAAGCCTCAGGGGTCAGGGGGCTCGGAAGGTGGGATGAAGGCAGGTGGGCTAAATGATCCTTAGTATAGACTCTCCTATACTGGGGCTTATTTCCTATACCCCACCTTCCTATGCCCCATTGGGGCTTGTTTCCTATACCCCACCTTCCTTCATCCCACTTTTTGAGCCTTTGAAAACCCAAAGCCTAGCATGACGAAGCCGCTTTGTGCCCGCCGTCCAGGAGCAGCTTCGCCAAGTAGCGACCGGAGTAGCTGAAAGCACCTCAAGCCGGACTTCAGGTTTTTGTTTTGTAGTCCCCCTTAAGTAGATGGAATATGGGGTATATGGGGATCTTAATTTAAAAAGCCAAAGCCATATTCTATCCGCTTAGGGGGACTATAGGGCTAACGGTGTAGGAAGCTACAGAATTTAGGAGCTTAGGGTAACCTACTTACTTAGTTCCCAAGGACTCTCCAAGTAACCCTAAAACATAATATAGACATCTACATAACCCCAGTTCCATTTCATGTCCGTTTTGCTTGTCCACGTGAGTCTCCATGATTGGGGTAGTCTCCCTGAACTCTATCCTGTCTTAACCCCTAAACCCCAATGCCTAAATAATCCCTGTGTTTTGCGCCTGATCATGATCCCTTCTACCCAGTTCTGAGCCACAACCCCCTTCGCCCCCCGTCTCACCAAAGGAATGCAATAGCCAGAGCCCTGAACCGTAAACGCAAATCCTGTTCCCTTCTTGAAACACTATTTAAATGACATTTAGCTGTTCCGAATTGGCTTCTCGCAGAAAACAAATGACAAGTCTATCCAATGACAGTAGAATACCAAACCCTAGGACCTAAACCCCAAACCTCAACGGCCTATGGAAGCCCGGGTGCCGTGCCTGTGATGGCCACCTTCATGCTACCCGTGCATCAGATACGCCACGCCGCCGCAGGCTATGTACAAGAAGGCGTGTGTTTGTGTGTGTGTTGATGGTATTTGTCGGTTTGGGGTTGCAGAGTTAAAGCTTTAGCTATTTGATGAAGAGCCTGGGAATAAGAAGGATGGCTTGTCTCAACAGAAGAGGTCTATACTAACAGGCGATCAAAGGAGATGTCTCACACCAAAGAATTGCAAACAGGCCGCGGGGCTTGTACATGGTTTACAACCTAGTAGCCTAATGTGCTTGACTGCGAAGAGGGGCACACAGTGCCTAACCCAGAGTCAGGAGATGCCACGCAAGCTTCTACCCTAAGCAACGCCAGTACAACCTCCCCACTAACTGCTACAAGTAATCCAAACTCACAGCCTTCAGAGCACCAATCTCCGTAACGCTGCACTCTATGTCCCCTAGAGACTGAACACTCAACCCAGAAGCCCACACCCCAAACGCAAGAATCACATGCCCGAAGCCCTACCCTCTGAGATAACCATGGAACCTCACAAAGCTCGTCCAAGATTTGGCAAGGACATGGCTAAGGGGGACACCTTTCAACCGGTCTAGGGTTTAGGGTTTTGGGTTGACGTTGCAGCTGCCAGAGCCCCTGCATGCTGCATACGACATTCATAAGCATTACAATTTGCGGTGATGAAACAGAACTCCTCCGGAAAACCGCAAAAGATAAATGCCGCCCTGCCCAGGACATGCAGATTATGCAATGTAGTAGACGGACCCCTTGGGCGCCAAAGTAGACAACAGAATTAGGGCTTAGGGCTTAGGACTCCAAGGCATGCCTCAGACCCTAATTCCCTAACGCCTAACCCCTAAAGTCCTACCTAGACCTGAAAAGTAGGTAAAATGGTGCCCCAAACACCCACCCAAAAAAAACAAGAAGGCTACTATTCCACATAGTTTGGGGGGGTTAGGTATTCCCTAAACCCTAAACTCTATCCCTCGAATCCCGAAGCCGCAGGAATCTCAATGGACATCTGGGGCGTTCCCCAAAATTAGGGGTGCCGTTCTACGGATCCCTATACTTAGGATTGAAATTATTTTGGGGTCTATACTGGGGTCCACCCATGCACAGAAAATTCTTAAGCCCCATATAACACTACACAACCCTAAACTCTAGATTCCCCCTACTAGGACAACTGTGGGTCTGTACCCTTAACCCTAAACTCCCAAAACCCTAACCTTCCTAAACTCCCTAAACCCTACATCCTAAACTCCCTACACCCTAAACTCCCTAAACCCTACATTCT